TCTTACGCGCGAAGTGATATTGGAAAGTAATGACAGGACTAACGTAACGCATTTTTAACACGCAATACACTATTCCTCACTTATTTTACTGGTTAGTATCAAGTTTTAAAACCGCATTTCTTTACTGTTAGTAAGGAAAACTGTGCCGTGTGGTTGACTAGGAAAATCGAGTCGGTGTCATAAAAGGTGAATCTGGGAAATGCCAAAATAATCTTTAAGCCAATGCCAAAATAATCTTTTTTATACGTGGTAGAGCCACGCTACAGCCATATAATGGTTGTAGCAAAAATGGGTCGACTCGACCGGGGAAGGACCACGCTCTCACAGAATACATACGTAAAATAGCAGCTAGGTACTGACTGCTATGTTTCGTATGGTGAGGACTAAGATGGAATGCCTCGCTTCCAGTAAATAGGGTCTCTACACTCACAATACGAAACACAGTAGCGTGAACATATGATATCATTAATTTTTATACCCTTCTTGAGTTCGAGATTGAATTGATTGCTAAACTAATTTTATTTTAAATTAATATGCATTTTAAGAGCATATGTTGATGGCCATAAAAAGGGGGCTACCATTTCGAACCAGTTTCCGAAAAGTGTGGCGCGAAACGCAACCAGACAGGAAGGCGACAAACGTACTTGTACATATAAACATAAATTGATCTCCGCTTGTACGCTATCTGGCGCACCTTCCACGGGTGCGTTTTCGCAAACCACGGAACTTGTAATTGTCGTATTAATTATACAATCGCGCGGTCGTATTGTGTGTCAACCAATATGGTAACCAGTGCGTAACTGGAGCGGTGACGCTTCGACAAGTGCGAGCGGGCGCGATCTTTATCTTTTAGAGGAACGCGGATTTTTCCACGTGATTAATTATATCTTTTATATATTGGCGAAATAAATTAGAATTTTGTGCATGAAATATCATGTTTTTCGAGTCTAGTACCGTTGAAATCGAAGTTCTGGTCTAAGCAGAAATGGCGAAAGAACCTCCGCAGGTATCCTCTTCTTTTTCATGGCTCTAAATCAATTTTTACGCGGTAGTCTTTTTAGTGGAGACGAAGCACTTCAATATAGTCCTAAGGGCTGACGACGCATTTGTATTTTAACTCTTAATTGAGGATAGAAGTAGGTGGCCATGAAACACAGAATCTGTGGTACCTAATGTAGTCCTATTTGTTATGTGACAAACGAGGACAAATTCCACCTAACGGTAAGTGAATTCTGTGGTGGTAAAAATGCAGATGCTTTGTCACCCCCGAGATGTAATTGGATAGGATGGTTTCCAGTAAAAATGGTATTCGGTTCTCACAATACGTAAGACAGCAGCATTAAGCTTCTGTTTCACGCCGGTATTCTGTGAGAGCGTAATCTACAATATATATACGTGCTATAACCATAATATAGCTACAGCATGGCTTACCACGAATATCAATTTTAAAGAATTTCACAAACGCAAGATGCGCCTTGGTTTCGAAGCCAAAAATTAGTATATGGCGAACGTTGAGCAACATTGTTGTATCATCAACGCGTTCCTTGTTAGTCACGCCTTATTAAAATGCTACTAATTAAAATGCTAGTCGCGCCCCCAGTCGCCGTCCAGTCTGTCAGACAAAAGCGTCCAACGGATTTAGAAGAAGGTTGTCGGTTTGGCTTGCAAAATCCTTATTAAGCAACTGATTATTGTTCGGTGCGTACTTATGGTTGACCTCATGTGTGGCCTGCGTAAAAAAAACATGTGTCTGCATTTGTAATTGCTATATAAATATTATTTTTAATATATAAAAATGCCGTGTCACGATGTTCGTTCACGCTAATATCCGAAACCTTTTATACGTGGTAGAGCCACGCTGCAGGTATATTATGGCTGTAGCACGAATGGGACGACTCGTCCTGTGCAGGACCATGCTCTCACAAAATACCAAATTACGAAAAAAGTAATAAATTTAGGTTGTACTGTTTATACATAAATAATTAATATCTTTTCTGGCCATTGCTTTCATTGTTTTTCGTTGGGTTGACGTAGGCTGTTGGGTTTCGTATGTTGAGTGTAGAGGTAAAATACATCATCCTATAGGTAGGTGTTGTAAGACGCGACGTTGAGAAATGTCAGAAAGGGCTCATGGTTTCAAATAACTAGCAGAATAGCAGTGTAACCATCTCATTTACGTCAGGCCAAAATATCTAGGCCGACGTCGAGAGAAGCATCAATGGTGCGTGTTTACTGTTACTACGAGATCAAATCCAGATCAAATTCATCTGTCAAGTATAGCGTTTAACCAAATCTCTACTATCGGAAAAATATCATATAAATAGGAAAGGAATTCATATTGAACAGTAGAATTTTACGCCTCGGTGAAAAAGAAGAAGAAAGCGATATAGATTGAAGATATCAAGAGCATTAGACAGCTCTACACGGGAAGGGGTTACAGTAATAAATCAATCGCAAGAACAGTTTAGTCTTTGGATATCCTCTGCGTATTACTTACTGCGTGTAATAATGCCAGAAAAATGCTAGCATGCTAAGTTTAAATCACATACTGCTGATGGGAAATAGCCTTAGCAATGTGAAGTTAGGAGGATAGGTTCTAATATTCAACAACATGCATATAAGCGCAACTGCTGATCATGTTGGTTCTGGGTATTAGAATTCCGATTCAGAGGATCAGGCGCAGGACCAACCTCTTTTCGTGCTTTTTCCGAGGCACGGGGGTAAGACATCGCCTTCTTCCTGACTCTGAGCAGCTACTGAGAGTTTTTTGACGGAAAAACTCAATTAATTAATTTTTTGGCCCGACCCGGGACCTCATAATCAGCAGTCGCACTACTACAACCACTAGACCAACGAGGCCGTCTTATAATATCTACTGAATGTATAAACATTTTGATGTGTCTACAAATCCACATCATTCCCTTCCAGCCCTTCACAAGTCCACTGCTGAACATGAGCCTCCGCTAAGGAATGGCACAAAGCACGGTCTTGAACCACCTGCATCCATCGACTTCCTACATGTCTCAACAGGTCGTAACTGCATCTAGTGGGGGTCGCCCTACACTACGCCTACCGGTACGAGGCTGCCACTCGAGGACCTTTCTTCCCCAACGGTTGTCGGTTCTTCGAGCTATATGGCAATCCTATTGCCACTAGCTTACTAACTCGTTATATTATTATTTATATTTATATATCCGCATATTTTATAGTAAAACACATAAATAAGACCTTGTACCATCTACTATATAAAGAATTCGCTTCAAGGTTCACCACGTCGTGCACTTAGCTCGGCGCAGGATTGCGACGGCGGCGCTTATTAATACTCGTATTAGATCCAGTAGACGTTCTAAAATAGCATCGCTAACTTCGTTTGCAAAACAAACTGTAGGGCGCGACCGACAATTCTGATTTTGGAATTTAAGCCGAAGATTCTTTGAAATTTCGCCCATTCTCGGGCTTGGCTGAAGCGTTGGTGAATCCAGAGGAAATTTCCTTGGACCGATAATGATGCTCACTATCACCAATCTACAAAATTTGGTTTCAGTGTATTCCGATCGTTCAACGTATTCGTGTCATGAGGTTCTAAGGTAAGAGCCTTATTTCATCCTGTGGGTTTCGTTAGGGGTGACAGCTGTTGGTATACTATCTGGTATAAGCCAGATACAAAACACTTAGATCAGCGAGAGGAGCAGCGTAAAAAGGGAAAGACATCTGATACAACAATTCGTCTGCCAAGCGTGTCAATTTTGGTAAATCCTACATACAGTTAGAAAAGCTCATGTCCAGTTATAAACAGTTAGGGACTGATGAAGAAGAAGTATTCGAATAGCATTTCGATCGCCCTTCGTCGGTGACCATTTTCCACTGCTCAACTGGCACTGTGCAGATCTAATCATACATCTGATATCAAGTAGACGTTAGAAGGTCCTAGCCCTTACAAACATGAACTCTATTGCTAATAACGACGACATATCAAGTGCAATTTACAAGCATATTTAATAGCTTGATAACTCTTAACGCAAGGCGCTTAGGTTGGTAATTGCGTGTATTGGAAACCGGATAGAGATGCGGTACGGCGGATGTGATTCAGCCACTGCGATCGCGATCGCTTTCCTGTACTCCTTGTGTTTGTTGGCTTTGCTTTGTTTCCTTTTTCGTAATTGTAATTTTGTTTTATACGTTTGGATCAGTCGTTATTCGGATGCTTGAGTATGATTTTTTATGACAATGTATTGAGTAATAAAACATCCTCATTATATAACAAAAGGGACTTGATTAAGTAATCAGTACATCAGACATTTTAAAAATTTGATCTAAGAATCTATAAATTAATTTTTCGTTTTTTATAATCTATTGTTGCCACTTGCCGAAACTTAAGCTTCAATTTTGTAATTTGGATAAACACTTGTATTCATTTCTTTATCTATATTTATTTTAAATTATTAATATACTAATTATAAAAACCAGGGAGCAAATACAAAGTATTTGCTTTGTATTTACTCCGTGCTGCATCATCAGGTTGTACAATAAAACGAACATATGCTACCATACCTGCAATAAATGTCTGAGAGAATTTTATCAAAAATCGTGAAAGTTGAACTAACCTCAGGGATGTCATATTAATAAATCTTTAAAGTTACCACTAATATATTATAAAGGTGTATTCAATTTACTTTTTAATAAATTCATCTTTTCTCTCGTTTTTTATTCACTGTTATTTATTCATTACTGGTGATCTGCCCCGGTTTCGCACGGGTGATGTCTGGATTCTACAATAGCGCCACCTATCGGATACAATTATACCTATAACCTTCACTGAAGTCCAAGTAATATGTTAACAAAGTTTTACCGCAATCTGATGAACGGTTAGATAGACATATTATATAATTAGACAAGCAATTCAACGATTAATCAGATGTTACATTGATTTAACCGCAAGTGTGATGATAATAAGAAATAGTGTTTATAATAATAATACATCATGTTTTCTATTGTTTCAGGCGCAAAGAATGGAGTGCGGCACCTCGGAAATCAGTAGAAAGCAACGTGGTGACCAGGTGAGTGTTAGAATATTTTTGTTTGTCAATAATGTTTGAAAACTTGTTTGTCACTTACCATCAGGTGGACTATCTGCTCTTTTGTCACCCTTATTTCATAAAAAAACGACAATCCATGCGCCCCGTAGGTGACTTACTCGTAAGGAGCGATTTAGGGAAATTTAAAAAAGCTTTTATATCTTTAGATAAATGACGATAATATAACCTTCTTTATACTCCAGTTGAAGTATATGCACCAGCGAAGTGAACCATCGTTTGTAACGACTGGATCTGCGATAGACAATCAACAACGACGCACGAAACAAACAGCTGGGTTGCCTTTCTCCAATACTCAATCAGCCAAATTGACTTTCTTCAATTGTTAACGCTAATGGAAAACTCTTAACGCAAGGCAAAGAATGACATATCTCAACGATAAGTCACATGGCATTCATGTGACTCATCGCTTGTTGCATTCATTTTACCACGTTTTTATTAAGTCACTTTCTTGTTTGTCTGCCTGCCTGTCTGTCGTTCAGGATTGAATCTTGCAATTTAAATTCCGAGCACTTTCAGATTAGCTAGAGTTGAAATTTCGAACATATAATGATTTCTTATATTTACGCGTATACTACACATTGAATAAAACTATTTATACGGACTTCTTCGCGTTTCATTAACCTATTCCCGACGTTTCGGGTGCTTATAGCACAGAGGGTCACCCAGTACACAGTGACTATGGCACCTGAAACTTCGGGAATTAAAAATATGTTTAAGAAACGCGATAAAATCGGTATAAATAATTTTATACAATTTTGAACATAACTTAGTATTGGATGACAATGTAGAAATATGAAAAAAAACGTGGTATATAATTTTTTTAGTACAAAGTTTTAAAAAATCACCTGTTATAGTTAACTATTGTAGAATATCAACTTGGGTAGACCCGCTGCAATGGTATTTCGTTTCGTTCTGACGTGTTTGCCAGTTGATACATAAGCACTTTTAATATCGGTTATTAACCGATGTACATTTCAAAAAATAATGTTTTTTAAATACTATCAAAAAAAAATATAACACAGTTTCAAAGTTGTGTCTATTATAATGTTATTAAAAAAATAAAAAGTATTTTTCACCTGCAATTATTACCACACCATCAAATAATTTTTAGCACTTAACGTGATTTGCGACTGGCATTCGAACTTTGGACTTCTGTAAGCATTTATCTTTTAAAAAGTTAAAACGTGACTTTGTGTATTCATAACGTATGTGACCTTTAATTTATTTAAACTTGCTAAAGCAGAAAATTCACAGATGTACACTTGAAGATTCAAACAAACGCATATTTATAATGCGAGCACTCATACGCTACCTTTGGCATTTTGCAGCTTGATTACGAGTATTAAGTTCGCGAGAACATGGCGCGTACTCATTTTCCCGCTTGATGTTTCGCCTGTAGTTTTGACACCTGTCAAATTATGACGCTGGTTGCGCAACTGGCAGTGCACCTGTTCATGAAAAAGTAACGCGTGATCAGTTAGCTGATTGCCAGTTAGTTTTTTTTTTTGCGGACCAGTAATTATAGGCTGTGCGTTTACCGTTCCACGTATTGCCGATCAATTAGTTGTATCGATTCTAGTTTTTGTTAAAGAATACTTTAAGTTGCTTTTATAAATGTTTATTAATTTTTGTAATTAATATTTAAAGAAATAACTCTTTTCTCGTAGATTTTTGATTGATATCGTTTTAAGGATGCAAGCATTATAATTAATGGATTGTCTAATCTTGTTTTATGGTGGTTTCATGCCTCGGAAAGCACGAAAAGGCATTGGTTAAGCACTTGATTTCTCCGATCATATAGGAAATTCGTCTCATCGGACGATGAGAGTACACCTATTACACATATTCGCGCACGATAGTACTTACCTGCGCAGATCCTGTTCTGCGTCAAAATTGGCCGCCGTGACCAAAATTCGGTCTTGAGGACATTATGGTATTATTTTATGTTTATAAAACATAAACACTCACGCCTGTTACCCAGAGGAGTAGACAGAAGGCAGAAACTACGGACTTCCACTTGGTACGATCCTGACACACCTCCTTTACATCCATATATCTACGCATACACGATCGTCGGTTAAGGGTACTCCTAATGTGGCTCATTTTCAAAATATCGCCAATTTGGTCGATGAACCTTCTTCAAGGACATCCCTTTCCGACTCTGCCGTTCACATCTGCTCTATAAATTTGTTTTGTCACTCTTACCTCGTTAATTCTTTCTTTTGTATTTCTATCTATTTTATATTTATTATATAAATTACATTTTTGTTCATATATTATGAATATCGCCTAAATAAATAAAATAAAATTATTAAAATACGCTTTTTCGGTCTGCCTAAATGGGAAAATAATAAGTTACTAATTAATAAATAATTTAAGAAAAGTTTTAATTGCAAAGCGTTCCAATATAAATTAGCGCATAGTAAATTAATTAATGCTTGAAACTTAAAACAAAGATAAAAGATACTGCATAAACAATAAACGTTCATTTTCAAGTTCAAGTTCAATCCTAATATCCCACTAAAATAATAATAATAATAATATAAATTGTAAACGTGAAAGTTTGTTTGTATGTTCGTGGTTCAATCACGTAAAACTACTAAAAAGATTATAATTAAACTTGGCAATATTTTAGATAACGAACCAGAATAGGACATAGCCTATATTTTTATGTAAAAAAAGTTTTAGTCTATCTCAAGTTATATTTGTCTTAAATTCGTTGTGTAACAAAAAGGCGGTTTTTTATCGCGAGTAAAAGCTAAGCTAGTATTATACTCGTATATAACTGCAACACTAAGTTTCTAACCAAACATTATTTTGCTTTCCATTAAGTGATTGTAATCGTAATTTTGTCATTTTGTTCAATAATCGATTGTTCAAATAGATTCCATTCGGTATCAATGACTGGAGCAGTTTATGTAACGGTTCCGCTGTATGCGAGACGAGTGCAGATGTTCATCTCATATCGATTTGTTTCTAGTTAGGAGACCTATAATTATTGAAGCATGCGATATCTATATAAATAAATAAAATTGAAGTGTCCGTTTGTAATGTCAAAATACTAAATATATAATAGATTTTTTTACTAAATGTTGTGGGTAGTCTTAAAATATTGTTTGTTAAGAACCGCCTTTATTATTAAAAACAGTTGTCATCTGAACTTCGTTGTTTCATTGTCACTACATGGTGGCAGCGGTTAAAATACGTAAATAATTTTGGATTTACGTTTAAATACCGTTAATTTGTGGTGTAAAAGTGTAAGGAATGGAGCATGCAAGACCGTCTACCGAATCGAGTTTAGATGGCAGCCCCGTCAGTCGGGCTGTCGCATGGAAGAGGTATAAGGCACAATTCAATCTTTTTATTAAAGCATCGGGGGTGCACAAAGTAGAAGGAAGCATACAGGCGAGTTTGCTTATTAATCAGATTGGATCAGATGGATTTGATGTTTACGAGACTTTTACGTTCGATTCAGAAGAGCAGCGTGAGGACGTCGATATATTGATGAAAAAATTTGATGAGTATTTCGGTGTTAAATCTAATATAACATTACTGAGATGTTATTTCTTTACGAGTTATCAAGAATCTGGAGAATCCATTGATCAATATGTAACAGCGTTAAAGTTATTCAGTAAAAATTGTGAATTTAAAAATTTAGTGCAAGAGTTGATTCGCGACCGTATTGTGTGCGGCATAAGAAACACAATTGTAAGGGACCGGTTGCTGCGGACAGATGAATTGACTCTGGAGAAAGCAATTAAAATATGTCAAGCGGATGAAATGTCAATAGACAGCAAGTGTGTGATGGAAGCACGTAACCTTACGAAATATACCAGAAAAATCATGCCCTCACGATTGTTGAAACGGCAAATGTTCGTCCAGCAAAAGTCTGCTGACATTGATTTAGGTATATAAAACTAGGAACTTCTTAATTTACGTCCATTAATAATGATAATATAGATAAATGATAACTAAGATACCTACATGCGCTCTCCATAAAATTACAGTACGCAAGAAATGCAATTAGATCTAAATTATCAAAAAATTGTCCTTTACTTGTAAAACTTAAACTTCTTGTCAAATGTCAGTAGGATTCAAATCTTTCGGTGGTACAGGAATTTTGCTTTCACTGATCCTCGAGATTGCGTTTTCAATTAACAACGATGCCAGAATAACATCCCGGTAAATGTAATTTATCTGCATAATAAGCGGCGGTAATACAACAATGATCTTAACCGATAACGGCCGGTGACAACACAGAAAAACGTGTGTCGAATACGCGATACTATCTCGAACGGCTTCGTTATTAGCGTGGTAAGTGATGACTTGCTTGGACTTGTGGACTTGGTGCGACCTCCTTTCTATTGCCTACTTCGTATGTTTGCTTATCTTCAGCTAATACCATTACTCGGGAATACCGTAAAATATTATGCGATATACAATTTATTTAAAAAAAAACTGTTGTCAAATTATTCTTTACAAATGATGTCTTAAGCCCGATTCTTATATTTACTTACGTAGTAGAGGCATGCTGCAGTTATATTAGTAGTATAGTTGTAGCATGAATGGGTCGGCTTGACCGGAGAAGGATCACAATCTCATAGAATCCAACGTAAAATAACAGCTTAACGCTGCTGTGTTTCGTATAGTGAGTGTAGAAAACTGGGGACCCTTTTTACTGAAAACGAGGCATTCCATCTTATAGTACTCACGGGTGACAAGTAAGAGGGGACTATGGGAAATGCCAGAACAATCTTAATATATAAGTAAATGGTGTAAGTTCTAAGAAATTAATATTGGCTTGAGATGAACTGCCCGTCCGACGTTGTAGCTTCACTTTTGTCTGTCTTTCGATCTGACTGTCTTATTTTATTTAAAGAAAGTTTTTTCTACACACGTATGAAGACCCGACGTACTGTCGATTACGGTTTGAATAGCAGTGAAAAGTGCGTGAGAGCCTA